CGCGCCACCCGTCTTCCGCGCCGCGCGGAATCTCGCTGCTGCGCGCACCTAAAGCCACGCCCCCCGCTTGTGGCCACGCCTCCGGAGCTCCGCCTCTGCCTCCCGCATCCCACCCTCTGCCCCAGGACCCCGAACTCCAATGATCCTTCAGCAGCCCCTGGAGCGTGGCTCCCCGAGCGACTCGGGGGTGCCTCGAAGCCTGAACGCGAGGTGTGTATGGGGGCCCCCAGGTGGGCCTCGCCCAGGGGCGCAAGAGCTTTGGCTGGGGGCTCGGGGCTCGTCTGCAAGATGACACACAGTGGGGCAAATCAGCAGGACTTGGGCAGGAGCTGAGTCCGGTTTGGAGACTTCCAGAGAGTGGGGGTGACTTAGGCGTCAGCTGAGACATGGGCTGGGGGATTCCTGGCGGACGTTCCTGGCTCAGGCTGGCAGATCCTGGCATGGGGCCGAGAGGGTGGGGTGCACCTGGCTCTCTTTTCTCCCTAGCTCCCCTCTGCGAGGAGCTGTGCCCCTGAGCACCAAACGGCGTCTGAAGGAGGAGCAGTGAGTCTGGGGACAGGGAGGGACTCCCAACAAGACCTCTGGCAACTCAGGTCCCCATCGTCCTGCCTCCCCTCCGCATATCCCAGCCTACCTGCCTCCTGGTCTCTCCCCAGGGAGCCCCAGCGCAAGCAGTTCCTGTCCGAGGAGAATATGGCCACCCACTTCTCTCAGCTCAGCCTGCATAATGACCACCCTTACTGCAGCCCCCCCCTGGCATTCTCCCCAGCTCTGCCCCGACTCAGGTAAGCACCATCCGCTATCCGCTGACCTATCCGCTGACCGGGCCTTCTGGAGGATCACACCTCCTGGGAGCCAGCCTCCAGGCCTTGCCTCATCCTGCTATTTTTAGCTTCTAGCCAACCGCTGTCGTTTCTCCTCTTGGCTCCTTAGAAGGTAGAGGCAGCCCAGGAGCCCTGGGGGACCTGAACCTGGTAGGAGGAGGCTCTGCCAGGCCACCCTCAGCCCTATGCCCTCACTGTCGTTTCCTCTTCCAGGAGCCCTTGCTCTGAACTGCTCCTCTGGCGCTACCCTGGAAACCTGATCCCTGAGGCTCTGAGGCTGCTGAGGCTGGGGGACACCCCTGCCTCCCACTACCCTGCAACCCCAGCTGGGGAAATAATGGAGCCCTGAGGGCCGGCAGACCGTGTACCTGCCCACGCTGCTTCTCCCCCACAACGGGGGAGATCAACACCCTCATGAAGGGAACAGCTGTCCTGCTTTTCCTCCAGACCAGGCCTGTGAGCATCAAGACCTTCCCCCAACAAAGACAGAGCCTGGGGTAGGAGGGACAGTAGCATGAAAAGGGAGGCATTCTCCCCCATCCCCCCCACAGAAGAAATGAATAAACATTGCTGAGCAGATGATGGCTTCAGTCTGGAACCTGGGGCCTTTGGGAAGAGAGGGCAAGACTGGGGCACAAGATGCTTCAGTTTCTCCTCAAGATCTTCCCCGGAAAGCGGTCAGGGTCTGCCCAGGTCCTGGCAGGCTGGGCTCAGGCATTGAGAATGTGTGAGTCAGAGCCTCACCCCCGCCCCCGAGGCTGACTCACTCCTCCCTCCAGCTCAGGCTGGGGAATCATGCCACTCTCCAATCCATTTAAAGTTAAAGATTCTTTTATTAATAAATTCTCCCGCCCCTCCAAACTTTCTACCCAAAATAAATATCTCCCCTCCTTTGAGGGTTGGTGGGGGCAGTGTCTCAAAGCCAGCCCCCCTAGAGGGCCAGCCCCCTAGTGTTAGGAACAGGTCCCTAGCCCCCCAGGCTGAGACCCCAGTGCTGGGATTTCAGCACATAGGAGTGGGTGGGACCTGGTGTTCTGTCTGTGCCTCACTTCAGCCTGACCCCCAAGCCATGGGGATCGGGGGCCTTTGTGCAAATGTTGCAGTTCCTAGTGTCAGCCATCTGGTGTGAGCCAGCCTGGGTCTCCTTTTCTGTCCTGGAGCCAGAGACAGCGCAGTCAGATACCTTGGAAGGTTCCTCTGAAGCCTGGACCCAGGCCTCGGATAAGTGATTCACCTGTCCCCCCCTCCTGCACACTCCTGTGATGGGAGTAGCATGGCTCTAGTTGTCTGGGAGGCGAGGGCTGGCTCCACAATGAATGAATGAATGAATGAATGGCGGGTGGGCACAGTTTCCTGATGACCAGGGAAGCTCATGGTCACTGGATCAGCGCTGCGCCGGGACAGCCCTCCCCGCCGGTCTCCTCGATGGGGGCTGCACAATAAGAAGAGGGGTCATCAAGAGCTGGGGACATGCTGAGGAGTGATGGCGGGGCAAGGGGGACGGGCACACTTACTGGTAAACTTCTCTCTCCTGCGGCACCGTCTCCAGACCAGGAAGCCAGAAAGCAGCCCCAGCACAAGGGCTAGGCTCAAGGCGCCCCCCAAGATGGGCCACAACAGCCCAAAGGAGGCTGAAGGAGCCCCAGCACCTGCAGGCAGGACTCAGAGTCAGACCTCACCCCTCTCCGGACCAGCCCCACCCCCTAGAGCTGAGCCTCAAGTCTTCCCCTACCCGGATTGGCGCCCCTTCCCCATTCGCCTCCCACCTTAATTCCCCCGATCTAAAGCCACCTGCTCCCCTCTCTATCCCAGCAACTCTCCCCTATGCTGGGGTCCGCTCGCCTCGGGCCCCGCCCCCACTCACATCCCCGGCAGAAGTCGCTATGCGGTAGGGCTGGACATGACTCGCAGTTCATGCACTTGTCGAGGTCCTCGCTCCAGGAGCTGCCGCGGGAGCAGGGAGTGGTGCCTGGGGAAGGGGATCAGAGGCTGGGGGCGGGGCGCGGCTATTCTGGGGGCCGAGGTCTGGGTCGGCGGCTCGTATAACGTGAGTCACCGGCGCCCTCTTCCCGCATTCCTCACAGGTGACCGCACCGCCCGACCGGGATACGGCAGCGCGGGGTGGGGGAGCCGGCGGGCAGGAGGCTGGGGGGGTCAGGTCCCTCCTAACCGCCCCCCCCCTCCGCCGCCGGCGAGTGACTCATTCCTGGGCACCGGGCCCGACCCCGGTCCCTCCCCCCCGCATAGCTGGGCACTGAAGTCACCGGATGGAAGGGAGCACCCCACATGGTGTGGGGGACACAGACCCCCGTGCCTCTCGACACCCCACCCCGACTCCGGTCCTTGGGGCTGGGCAGGCCCGGTACTGACCAGGCTGGGGGCCTGCCCCCTCACCGGACGAGACATCCCGCCTTCAAACTTTCTCCACTTCCGAGTCCGAGTTGGACCGGCAGGAAACTGAGGCCGGGACTGGGAAGGAAGCTCGGAGAGAGACGGGACCTCCCCTGGCCAGGAAGCGCGGTGTCTGGGAACTACCTGACCCCCGATCCCGTGCACCCCCCAGTTCTGCCCCCTCCTCTAGCTCCCCCAAACCGGCTCCCGCATCCCCAGTCCGGGGTTCCCC